ACCGTAGATTAACGGTACAGAGGCTTCTTCACCAGCCGGGAAGCAGGCTGGGGTTGGTGTTGTGTGTGAGTGTGGTTGCTGGGTCTTTCGCAACTGGGCCGTCCGAGCTAGACCAGAAGACATGACTGAAGTCGCCCCTCCTGTGCCCTCTGTTTGCACTCTTTAAAAAAAAATATATATACAAAAATTTAAATTCCAACCAAACACTTGTACACGTAACGTTGGTCTCTTGCCATGCAAAGCTATCATCAAGATTGGTTGGGCAACTGAGCCCAGAAAGGGCTGATTAAGGCTCCTTCACATTATCAGCCATATAAGCTCTCAGGTTTGGTTAGTGAAATCCAAATTATACGTTATAAATCCTTTAGCCGGATTAAAGAATATATGTTAGCCTAATTCTTTCAAAATTAACGACTTTCTTTATACTGCCTGAGGCAGAACTTAAATAATTCCCTTTTTCAGTTCATGCAATTGTTAAATATACGAACACAGAATAAAGTATATTTACAATGCATGAACTGAAAGGGAATAAATTACACGTTTCTGCCTCAGGGCCAGTAACTAAAAGAAATCTTTAATATTGAAAGAATTAGCAAACATATTTCTTAATTCCGGATAAAGGATTTATAACGTATACATGTGAGTTTCACTTTAACCAAACCTGAGAGCTTATAGTGGTGAACAAATGTAATGAGCCTTAATAGCCGCTATTCTGGGGCTCCGTGGCCCACCCAATCTTGGATGATGCTTTGCATGGCAGGAGACAACGTTACGTGTACAAGTGTTTGTGTGTGTATTTTATTTTATTGTATATAATTTTTTTTTTAAAGAGTGCCAAAAGAGGGCCCAGCGAGGTGGGAACTCAAGTCAAGTCTTCTGGTCTAGCTCGGGGGAAACAAGGGGGGGGCGGCAAAGGGGCCCAGTGGGCAAAGGACCAGCAACCAGGCCTCACACACACGCACCAACTCCAGGCCTGCATCCGGCTGAGTGAAGAAGCCTCTATACCGTTAAATCTTACGTTCCCACCTCACTTATTGTATGAGTTTTGTTGTATAAGGCTGAGGAGATAGCTGAGGTAACTTGGACTGGGACTGCAACACCATTGGTCTATGTGCAGTACTGAGAAAAAGGTCATTGTGATAAAAATTAAACCAACAATCTTGATTCCACAGTGGTGTTACCAGAGCAACGACTGTGACAGTGGTGCAATTATTGTTTAGTCTGAAATTTAGTATGATGCCGGACCCAACCCCGTATGACAAATGCAAATGTAAAGGAGCCAATGTAAGAAAAAACATACTTTTCGATAACAATTCCATAGCACGAATGAAAGAGGTTTATCCAGCAGCATTGTATTGATTTCTTCAGTTAGAAAAAGAAATAATGCTTTGCTTATGATGTGGGAAGCAGCATATCGCAATCCCGATCAGTGGCACGTGTAAATTGTTCGGATCAAATAAGGTATCATGTGCTGTGTTCTGATCCTGTCATTTTTGGTAAGTTACATCAAACACTTAAAAAAGAACATAACAACAAATTTGTAAATAGGAGAAGGTTTGCTCGGTGTAGGTGCCGCATCTGCCAATATCTAAATGTGAAAACGGCCAAGTTGGTATAAAAGGGCTGCACCTCATTGATTTGAGCAAATGAGCTGATGACAGAAACAAATGCATAAATGTTCGTCAATGAATCATCCCTCATTTCTATAATTGATGATAGATAGACCACACCACCATGTATTGTTTATGCAGACAAATGGGACTTGCTCGCTGGAGATCCAGTTATATGGATTGGTTAGCTGTCTTTAGGGTCATCTGAAATACTGCTATGTCTGCCATTTCAACCAACACAATTAATGATTTATTATCAACTATGTGAGGAATATGTATGTTATGGTTAAATAAAGATTAAATAAAAAAGAATATATATCTGTGTTCTGTCAGTCTGTTCCCATCATAACTGTTAATCTAGTATTTTCCATTCCACACAGACTTAGATTGGGTAAGCCTGAGGGCTATTTATGTCTGCCCTCTGAAAACCATAATAAAACAACCCGACTACAGCCAGTGTTCTCATGTTCTTTCCCAGGAAAGATTGATAGTCCACCCCTTCAAACCACAGCTTTTATGTCACATTAAATTCTCTATCTTTCTTCTTATGTCTAATATAGAATCAAGGGCCATGTTATTGTCTATGTTCAGATGTTCAGCAGTCTGCTTCAACATGAAAAAAAAAAATATATAAAGATAAGATAAGATAAGATTCCTGTATTCGTCCCCAGTCGGGGAAATTACGATGTTGCTTGCTGGCATATAGGAAGTAGTAAGAGACACAGGGGAGCACACAAATTCAATACAAATAAGTTGTAGCTATGTTTTTCTTAGCTAAAATACTAGCTGTAGATGCTGAAAATGCTTCAATACCAGTCAAAAATATTATATGTGAGTAGTAGTACTGTAGTACTGTACGTTAATTAGTGCAGGATAAAAAGTAGATAAAGAAAAGTGACCAAAGGGACTTTTCATCTAGGAATGAAAAGTAGTTAAAATATTTCCTGGCAGAGTAGAGCCAACTATTGTATTTCTTCCACACCAGACTATCCATATTTTAAGGAGACACTCGGTCAAAAATATCTGTAAACAAATTAACAAGAAACGAATATGATAGTTTAAAGTTGTCGTTCACTATGAGACCACTGGGACGAACATAAGAGGTTAGAACTATATGTTCTTACGCTCTTATGGGAAAGTGAAAGAGCTGAGGCACACCTGCGTAAGTTTGCTTACCATAATCCAGGATGTGCAGACAGAGTTAGTTTTGTGCCTTTGTGTCCTTGTTCTGTACTATTTTCATTGTGATGTAAAGTTAGATTGTAGCTGACTTTTGGCGGCGCACATAAAAAAATTTAAAATAAAAATACATAAAATAAAATAAATATGAAGTGGAGCCCGTACAAACATCTGAACACAATACTACTCTACAAGCCCAAACATACACCAGAGTCCAAAAAGCTTCAGACGGTTTGAACAAAAGAACCACCACGATTAAATTAGCCGATGTGACGTTAGCATCGAAGCTCCTCTCACAGTTTGTTTGTTGTGCCTCCTTCAGGTCCTGGGCCATCGATCTCCTCTGAGTGTCATGAGATCTGGTTCCTCATGCGTGTGAGTGTAAGGCTGTTTGATTTCAAAGAAAAAATAATGCCTCCAAACCCTGGAGTTTCATGTTCAAAGCCCACCTTCACCTGAGGACACAGACGTTTCAGCGTTCATGTCATTGGAGCAAGTGGGATGTACTGACTACTGCTGAAGCTGCTGAGGCCATGTTAGCCACTAAGAACACTTTTAAGTTGTTTTAACAGCATTCAAGTGTTTATATTTTCTTTCTATCAATTGCTGAAGGCTATTATAGATGAGCAAGACAACTGTTAACCGGCAGTGCAATGTCAAATTGGTATTGTAAATATGTGTTGTGTGTGTGTATGTGTATATAGAAGAATACAGAATATTTCCTTCCTCTTTTGTGGTCGAAGTGATTGTTTGGTTAAAAACAGTGGACTGATGAAAAAGATGAATTCATTCAGCATTTTCTACATGTCTAAGAAACACTCAGAGCCTAACATAGAGGTGAGTGGACAAGCCTCAAAAAGCTCTTTACACCTTGTCCGCACTGGGAATCTACACTCACTTTATTAGGTACACCTTGCTGGTACCAGGTTGGACCCCCTTTTCCTTCAAAATTGTCTTAATCCTTCGTAGCATAGATTCAACAAGGTACTGGACAAACTCCTCAGAGAGTTTAGTCGATATTTGATAGCAACATGCAGTTTCTTCAGATTTGTCGGCTGCACATCCATGATGCGAATCCCCTGTTCCACCACATCCCACAGTTGCTCGATTGAAGTGAGTACAGTGAACTTATTGTCATGTTCAAGAAACCAGTCTGTGATGATTGGAGCTTTATGACAAGGTGTTTTATCCTCCTGGAAGTTGTCATCAGAACATGGGTACACCGTGGTCATAAAGGAATGAACATGGTCAGCAACAACACTCAAGTGGGCTGTGGCATGGCAACGAGGCTCAATTTGTACTAAGGGACTCAAAGAGTAACAGGCAAATATCCCCCACACCATTACATCCCCACCACCAGCCAGAACTGTTGAAACAAGGCAGGATGGATCCATGCTTTCATGTTGTTGACTCCAAATTCTGACCCTACCATAGGAATGTCGCAGCAGAAATTGAGACTCATCAGACAGGCAACTTTTTCCAATCTCCTATTGTCCAATTTCGATGAGCCTGTGCAAACTGTAGCCTCAGTTTCCTGTTTTAGCTGACAGGAATGGCAACCGGTGTGTTCTTCTGCTACTGTAGCCTATCTGTCTCAAGGTTTGACGTGTTCTGTGTTCAGAGAGGCTCTGTTGCAGACCTTGGTTGAGACAAGTGGTTATATGAGTAACTGTTGCCTTTCTATCAGCTAGAACCAGTCCGGCCAATCTCCTCTGACCTCTGGCATCAACAAGGCATTTGCGCCCTCCAAACTGCCGCACACTGGATAATTTCTCTTTTCGGACCATTCTCTGTAAACCCCAGTGTAGGAGCCAAAATGTACCTTTCCCTAGCCACAAGGTGTCGCTGTGGGCGTTATGTGACCTGAGCCCTATCTCCTATAAAAAGGGCAGAATTAGAGGGCACAGGTGCTGCTAGGTTTGGAGGTATACTGTTTCTTACCGTGTCAATTGCTGTGGAATGTATTATGTTATTTGGATTAATGGTCATAGGGGCCAATAAAGAAACCTCTAATACACTATTTGGACTGTGATTTTTGGAGACACGCGTTTGGGAAACCCTTAAAATCGTAGCAGCCAAGAGGCGATCTACAGGCAACATCTTAGCCTCTACATTAAGTAAGAAACAACCTCAGGTTCCCAACAAGTGGGGCCTCGACTGTTGCTGTAGCCTAGGACAGCACTGTGTGGGGTTACTGAGGGATCAGGAGTTATGCGCGCGCGTGCAGTGGAGGGCCCGGCTGGACCACACGCAGCGCAGCGGATCGTGATCAGGAATGGAAGGACGCCGGTGACAGCGGTGTTTGGAACGGGGGCAGTCGGAGCTTCAAGACGGGAGCGCGCGCCGCCATGCTCGTTATTGGAGGAGCGCATCAAAGAGGTTCGTGGATGTAGAGCCACGCGTGTATACAAGAACTGAATGAGATTTGCTATGATCTGACTATGAATGGACATGCAAATATGAACCCTAATAACGATGTGTTTGGACTGAGATGCGCTGACAAAAGACGCAGAGGAAAATCTTCTGCTTACATAAAGGCAGAGGCTGAGCGAGCGGCTCTGCTGGTCAAAGCGTCTTTTATGAAACAAAAACATGAGTTTGAAGAACAACAGAGACTAGTCAAACAGCAGCTTGAAATGCTTGAAATTAAAACTCAAATTGCTGCTGCTAATGCGGTGTTGGAAAATCTGCACAAAAAAAAATCAAAATCTGTGATGTCGTCTCGCGCAGCTGTGTCACCGCCACACCAATCAACGATGAAGCCAGAGTCTCCGTGTTTCCAAGAGGTCGCTGTGGGCGTTATGTGACCTGAGCCTATGTCTACATAGTCCATCCATCCATCCATCCATTTTCTTCCCTTTAATCCATTTCTGGGTCAGGGGGGTGGCAGTCAGAGATGCCACCCAAGTCTCATAGCACCAGCCCCTCACTGACCCTCTGCAGGTGGTGAGTCCACAGGAGGACGGCTGCTCTCTGAGTGTGAGCATAGCCTTGATCTTTCAGTGGGGGCTGTGGGCAAAGTGGGGTTAAGTGTCTTGCCCAAGGACACAACGACAGCAGTCATCAGTGGGAGTCGGTGGAGAAGGTGCAGAGGTGGGATTGAACCCACGACCTTCTGGGCTTTAGGCCAATGCCTACCAACTGAGCTACTGTCGCCCTGTCAAGACGCTAAATGTGCCTAATGCACTGAGTTGCTGCCATTGTGATTGGGATATTTAGGAATTTGCATGAAGTGGAGTTGGATAGGTGTACCTAATAAAGTGCAGTGAGTGTATAACTGTCCATGAGTTTCTGAATGATAATATACAGTAGCTGATGAAAAAAATAAAAAATAATGTTACATTAAAACATAGTTTCCTTTTATGAACTTGCTTCTAACATGTGATTGCCATAGAGCGCCTATACATCTTCATCCATGATATTGTCCCTTTAGGCAAAAACCTAAAAGAAATACATCATTGCAATTCAAAAGTTGTACGTAATGACTCCTTGTTCCATTCGACAAATCACATTCAGATAGTTCAAGCGGTGTGTCTCTTCTTAGTAAATAAATTAATAAATAATCCAATGCTTCTTAGAGGTCTGGGGCATAAATAATTTGTGCACTGGGGACAGTTACTTGATCTTAATTAATCAGAGCTGTCAGACCCTGAGTTCCCGAAAAGAAATAAATCAAGTTGAGCGAGATGAAGCAACTTATTTGCGTTGGTGTCTTTTCGCCCGTTTTGCTGCTTTTATCCGCCCGAGTGCTTCCCAAAATGTAATAAGCAGATGAGGAGTCCGCTAGCACTTTTCTCCATTGTAAAGCTCTCTTCTGGCAGAGCTCACTGGAGCCTGACAGCATTTCATTAGATGGTTATTTCCAGAGGGCTCCTTCAGGAAGACCGGGCAAGCTTTAGTCTGGAGCGTGGCTAAGACATCTGCTAGCATAGCCTTTAATGAGAGACGGAAGCGCAGTAACCCTATTGCCGTGATGGACTCGACATCATTTCTCTCTCTATCTTAGATAAGTATTCAAATACTTACAAACATAATTGCATTTTCCAACCAACCATTCTCCAGCATGTTCCTCCGTTAAGGTAATTTATGAACTTTAGTGAGAGTTAACACATTCTTGTTGATGTGACAGTGATGAACTCTTTTGTGTTGCCATGTTTTATACAAAGACACAGGCCCCTTTTGTTTATCCAGATCCCCGCGAGCTCAGACAGCACCACCCCGCTGAGATAGCCGCCTCCATTTGTCACTTCATATTTGAGATTGAGTTTGAAATGTACTCATGCCCCAGAAATGCAGAGAAAAAGACATACACAGAATTTGTTGGTTTTAAACAACCACTCTATTCATTACCTTTTGGGAGTGAGTCAATTATTTCGGCCAAATGCAAGTTAAAATAGAATTAGTATCACAGACGCAAGGTCTACACATACATAGACTAGTTGGTCTTATATGATGCATTAAAAAAAAAACAAGATTCTACAAAGAAGTTTATGTTATTCAAGTTCACAAGTTTTTAAGTTGTGTATCCAATTAGAAAGCAGAATTAGTATCACATGAGTCTGTTATTTGGGTTGCTAGTTACTATGTATTCCAGTTTGTTTATTGAAAGGAGAGCATTATTGAAATGATTTTAAAAACATTGTAGCCTTGGGACCTTGCTGCACAGAGGTTACCAAGATAGTTTACTATCGGTTACTCTGTATAACCGTCTTTTAATTAAGTACTTTAGAATAATTAACCGGTATTTATTCTATGAATAATCTGGGCTGTGTATGCTAAATTTGTGTTATCCATGTTGCGAACATTGGACAACAAACAATCCTAAAAGCATGGCGTGGGTACAAGTTTAGGAACGGATTATGCCTTACAGGCTTGTCATGTGGATCTTGTGGCCAGTTATTAAATTGTCCCATCTCCTTCGCAAATGTGGAGACTGAGGCATGGTTTTAGTGAATATAGGCCAGGACTTGCTGTCTAATTACTATATTAAGGGAAATAAGAGTCTATTTTTGGCTCCTAGTCCTAAATGGGGAAAGTAAAAGTTAGTTTGCCTGAAGTGAGGAGCAGGAAAGTAGTGCGACTGGAAATCACTAACTGGTACAGACATATCGCTGCTGTCAGCAGAACGACAGGCTCCATACACATGTATTATGCTGATCAGGCCATAACCAGACCTCACTATTGACTATCGAACGTCATTAAGCAAAAAAATGACTGTGAAATGATTCCGTGAGGACACTGACACTGTGACCCACTTAGATGAAAGACCAACTTTTGAAAAAGCTTTGCTCAGTTTTACTAATGAGGAAAAGATTTCCATATTCAGTAACAAGCCATTTAGGGAGGTATTATCTGGCCATAATTGGGCGACACTGGTGCACCGTGCTTAGCACCCGTGATCACAGGAAGAAGGTCCTGGTTTTGATTCCTGGTCCATTTTTTGTTTATTATTAAACATGTATAAAATAATTATTTACTTTTTTTGTAAATGTTTTGTGTATTATCACTGCGTCCATCTTTTTGCAAACATGTGTTTATTCATTATTCAAAATGCAGGTAACATTTTTTTGTGTCTGTGTCTTATTAGCCTGTAGTTATAAAACAATCATACTATATCTAATGTCACCAATTACACCTCCTTGGGAAGGACTTTGGCCACAAAGCACCTCGTTTAACCTCAAGACTGGAACCAAAAGGGCACGTTGACTGAATAGGAGCTGTGATTGATCCAGACGGGTGGAGCGGTGCTGAGTCCATGGGAGTGTCTTTATCACCTCGTTGTAGGTTCACCACACTCCACTCTGATGAATGGGGAATGTGTGGGGAACCAGGATGATTCCAGGGGGGTGATGGAGCCTCTGTCACTGCACCACACCGCGGGACAAGAGCAGAGCGATGGCCATGGGTGGGACAGCCCAAGGGTGAGGAGGAGGTGTATAAATGACTCATGCTTTGAGGCAAATGCTCACTTAGACCATGTAACAAATTATTTAGATTCTACACTGTTAGCTGTTATTTTTGTATAACTTTTTTACAATTTCTCACAGAGGTTTCTCTGTTCCCCCAACTGGGTTTGTGAGTTTTTCCTTGCAGAAGAACACCGGATGATCCGGGACATGAAGGAACATCAGTAACCCCGTGGATCAATGACTGGATAAGATGACTGACTATGAAAGAAAAAGAAACAAGATGGCGCTGGGACATGGCACCGTAGCAAGACTCGTAGCAAATCTGTGCACAATGGGTATTTTTATCATGCATTTTTCAACATGGTTTTTAACTGCAAATGACAAATGCACTGAATCTTAATCTCTAACAACAACAATAACATTGGACAAAGCAGAATCATTTATGTAAATGTTATGGCACATAAGGGGACTTTTACAGATTAAATACATACAATGAGAACAATTCCGTCTGGATCTTAACCACTGTTTGAGTTCTCTGCTGAAGATGGTCATGTTAGTCTATATAAAAATATGATCAATCTAATGTCACCGATTAAGATGACAAGACAAGATGGCGCTGAGACATGGCACCATAGCAAGATTTCTTTCATGCATTTTCCAACATGGTTTTTAACTGCAAATGACCAATTCACTGACTCTTCATCTCTAATGTGCGTTATGGTTGTTTTTCTTAAGTGTTCTGTGTCTACTCTGTCATTGTAGACACACAATACTCTTGTCATTCATTCACTGGTCACTTTATCTGCTGTGAGTATTACTGTATTATTATTGCATTTTTACATATCCATCTGAGATTCTGTCAATCACCAGTGAGTTTACCTGTTGATATTATTACAGATGTTTATTCTGCTCATATTCTCCGGTGCTTAAGAACAACATACACATCTGTAAATACTCCCGAAGCAAGTGCAATTATAGCTCCAGAGTTTATTTTATTTTATTTTATTCTTTATCTTATTTTAATATGTGCAGCAATGACACTGACATTTCTCCACTGTAGGACAAATAAAGGAATATCTTATCTATTGTTTGACGCCCTTCAAACCCTATATTTGGGCTCTACAAATAAAGGGTCTCAGCTCTGTCATGTAAAAATGTATGTAGATCTAGAGCAAGATTTACGCCACCAAACTACAGAATTCTTCTGTTTTGTAGTTTGTTGCCCTTCTCTGTCTATAGACCCAGTGCATCCATACCACTATGTTTTCACAGGTCTTGTTCACTTCAACTTTGAAAAATCTGATTTACTGGGGGGAAAAATTTTATATTTCCATGATTAAAAAAAACAAAGCACCATATCTTGAGTCAATTTGCATATTTTGTAGGGCTGTCAAACGATTAATTTTTTAATCGAGTTAATTACAGCTTAAAAATTAATTAATCGTAATTAATCGCATTTCAAACTATTGGCAAAATTATGCCATATTTTTCTGTAAATGGTTGTTTGAATGGAAAGATAAATGACAGCTTAGTGAACATATGTACTGTATTTGTTTGTTATAACAATAAATCCATATAAAATGGAATTAACATTCGGTCTTTTTGTTTAGACTCAGACCAAAACCATTGTTTGTTACAGATGAGGGATATTTCAAAATAGTCTGAAATATAGACTGTCATTAAAGACCTTATGACAGGTTTTTAAAAAAAAAATAGTGGATATCAAAATTGCATGACAATGTCAATTTGAAAGAGATTCCGGCAAAAAAAATCCTATCTTTTATAAAAAGAACGTGTTTTTCATGAATTTAAGTTGTCTATGCTGTAACCTGTGTGTGACGTCACAGCGGGTTACGCCCATGCATTGAAAACCATGGATCTATGTCACAGGAATGCCTTTTCTCTCTTCTCTCCACTGATGCCCAACACAATACTGCCCTCTACAGGTGACAATTGCTCACTACACATAAATTGCCGTTTTGAGTGTGAAAAAATGTGGGATTTGGCTGCCAACCCAAGACTGCCAACCCAAGTATCTGGATTGGCAGTCCATCGACACAACCACTGGACTATCTCAGTGACAACGAAATGTTACAATTTAGTATTTATGTCAGACTCTCTGTACACGGCCTTGTCATCTTGAATATCCGCGAAAAAAGAACGAATACCAAATTGTAAACAACTTACAGCGTTAAAACGTACCCGTTCTGACGTCACCAAGGGCTGTGAAGTTTTTTCGTCTCTAAGGGCGTTGCTATGGGGTTATTTCGATTTGGGGGGATCAGACAAAAAAAACAACAACTGATTTTGAAACCTTTAGTAGTTCTCTTCTAATATAAAATGGTATTAAAACTGTATTTCTAAATAAATCAAACCCGTCATAAGGTCTTTAAATCTGTTTGATTTGCTCACACCATTACTTTTTTAGCACAACTAACATGAACTGGTAGTCAAAAGGAAAATTAGGTACCTCAGCTTTAATTTAGCGAGTGCGCTTTGGGAGAAGACACGGAGGAGACTGAGGCTCCGCAGTCCAGCTTCAGCGCTGTACATATTGTGTGCATCGGTTACGCAAAGACACGTACGCACACTAGAGAATAGTTCTGTAATAGTTCTGTAATAGTTCTGTGCGTGGTCTTGGATATGATCCCATTCTACGTCATGGTGCTACGTCCCTTAGGACTTCGCTAGTGGGATATCACCCGTGACCCCCAGGTCACACGCCAGAGAGATCAAAATCATTTGCTCCAATCACCAGCCACCTTCCTCTATAAATGCCCCTGCACAAAGGCCGCACCACCCAACCGCTTTGTCAACCCAGCCCAGATGACAACTGATCACCCCCTCTTTCACCCTCTTTCACTCTGGCGATGTTTCACTCTGGCAGGAAAAAATAAAATCATAAAACATAATTACTGTACATACTGCACCTTCTCCACCGGACTCCCACTGATGAATGCTGTCGTTGTGTCCTTGGGCGAGACACTTAACACAACTGTGCCCAAAGCCGCCCACTGAAGATCGAGGCTATGCTCACACTCAGAGAGCAGCCGTCCTCTGTGGACTCACCACCTGCAGAGTGGTCCAGTGTGGGGCTGGGCGGGGAGACTTGGGTGGGCATCTCTGTCTGCCACCCCTGACCCAGAAAATGGATTAAAGGGTTGAAAATGGATGGTTGGGATGGAGGATGGATCTAGATAGGCTGTTTGAATAGGAATGTCTTTAGGCCTTTCTTAAAAAAGCCTCACACACTTTGTGGGGCCCTGAGGGTTTCTGGGAGGGCATTCCAGAGCCTGGGGGGCTACTGCTGAAAGGCCCTATCTCCCATGGTGGAGGTTTGGTCCTGGGTTGGTGCAGGCTGTGGGAGGAGGTGGTTGACGGAGGACTTCGAGACGTGCATCACGGTAAAGTCTTGTACATGGACTCTTTGCATTCTATAGTGTGTGGCTTTAAAAACAGGCGTCAAAATGCTATGGCCTTGTTTAGCTGAAATAAAGGATGATATAGGCGTAGGGACCAACCCCAGCTTGGATATTCTGGTCACAACGTAACATAATGCGTCTCATATCAACCGATGGATTTGTTCAGGGGAGAGCATCATAGAGAACATCACAGATGCCATCTACAGCAGAAAGACTCTGTGTGTGATCAGGCCAGCCGGATACCTGCAGTGCGAGTGGTGCTCCACAGAGATTCAGATGGCCAGGTTAAGCCACGAGTCCAGACAAAGCTAGCTTATTTTGGTATTAGTTTATGTAGTTCCCAAGGAAGCAATATTTGTTTGCACCGCTGATATTGATGGGGAGTGTGATTGCACTAAGTGTGGATTTATAGAAAATGGATCTTTTTTTAAAAAAATTCCAGTCTCTCGATGTGCAAAACTGATAGAGACATACTCCAAGCGACTTGCAGCTCTAATTGCAGCAAAAGGTGGCGCTACAAAGTATTAGCGCAAGGGGGCCGAATAATATTGCACGCCCCACTTTTAAGTTTTTTATTTGTTAAAAAAGTTTAAATGATCCAATAAATTTCGTTCCACTTCATGATTGTGTCCCACTTGTTGTTGATTCTTGACAAAAAAATTAAATGTGGCGAAATGTTGAAAAGTTCAAGGGGGCCGAATACTTTCGCAAGGCACTATATATATATATATATATATATATATATATATAATATATATATATATATACTGTATGCATGCATGCCATTGGCTGACATTATGCATTTTAGACATTTCTCAGACTGGCAGAAAAATAGGTGTGTCAAAGTAAGCAGTACTGCAGGGCTGCTCTGTGCACCTTTTTAGTAAACTTTTAACAACTTTTTAGCGCGTTTTTATTGTTCAGTTTTTTAATATATCTGAGTGTTTTATCTTTTTAATTCAGTGGTTTCAGCAAATAGCACTTAGTCCCGACTGAAACCCACTAGTAGCACAGAGGCTAACACAAGCTAACGAGGACATGGAAAGTGACAATGAAATTGGCTCAAACATGCACAATATTAGTCGCCTCACCTTGGAGCTCCGTGAGAGCGACCGTGCCACCATTGCAGATCTACGAAAAGAAGTCCTTCGTCTCACCGCAGAGTTGAATGAGAAACAATCTCTAGTATCCAAACTTTTTGAAGTCGCTGGTGGGCAGCACTCACGGCTGATGTCACTGAGCGCTGCATATTGTGACACTGTCGTGTGGGAGAGATCCGTCAGCTCCGGACCCTCCTGTTCTACACCTAAGCGCCCGCTTCCGAATAACGAGCCCGCGGATTCCGAGGAGCCATCCTGCGCCGTGGCCCATGTCCTGAGTCTGGCAAACCGCTATGCAGCCCTCTCCACTGACATCCCGGCCCCCTCAGCAGAATCCCTGGACACTGCAGCGTACTCTACTGCTCGAGGATCCAAGTCCACTGCGAGGAAAACGCTCCTAAAGGAAGCAGTCCTCAGGCGAAAGAGCGGTCCACCAGCCATGTTGGCCTGTTCCCCTTCTTTGACCCCAGTGCAGCAGCCTCAGACTGGGGTAGCGAGCCATCATCACCACCGCTCACCTCCACCGGGTCAGCAGCAGCGCCCAGAGCCAGCCCCTCTCACCGCTCCAGCGTCCCCGAGCACACAGCGTGGGTCGCCTGTAGCTGAGAGTCAGCACCCCCGCTCCTCCTCTCCATGTGTTCAGCGGCGCTCAGGCTCGGGTCCTGCTTCGGGTGAACCCGCTGGTTCCGTCCACCGAGCTCCTTCTCCGAGGCCACTCTTCGCCCCGACCACTCTGATTATTGGAGATTCCATCGTGAGACACGTCCGCTTCTTTAACGCGGTCACTCGCTGTATTCCCGGAGCTACTGTACCAGACCTGCTCATACGTCTCCCTCCTCTGCTTCAGTCCCTGCCTGATACCGTTTCCAAGGTAGTCGTGCATGTGGGAATTAACGACATGAAACTTCAGCAGTCAGAAGTCACGAAGAAACATTTTATGGATCTGTTCCACCTCCTTCAATCCTCCGGACTATCTGTTTTTATTTCTGGTCCAATCCCGACTGTAAACAGAGGTGACTGCCTCTACAGTCGTGTTGTGGCGCTGCATGTGTGGCTTCAGGCTACATGCAGCTCTTTTAACTTTGTCTTTGTGAATAACTTTGCCCTTTTCTGGAAACGTTACGAAGCCTATCGTCCAGACGGATTACACCCAAACAGATACGGTAGCAGCCTGTTGATGGATTACATGCGTTATGTTGTTCAGCGTTCCCCGAGGGGGGCGTGACTGTTTACATCTGAGCCCCCTCGGACCCCACCGCACTCCCCCGCCTCCTGCTCACCAGCACCGGGTGAGTACAACGGTGCAAACACTGCTCCCTGTCCGTCTGGCAGTGCATTACCAGTCCAAACACTGAACTGTGCTGACTCCCTTCTGACTCTGGGAGCTAAAGAACAACAAGGGTTTTCACATTTTAGGCCAATTGAGACTGTGTGTGTTCCTCGCACCAGCTCAAAAATGTTTTTAAATTCTAAAAAACGAAATCAAAACAGGACAGCAGTTAGACGGTCCAACTCTGCAAATCTAATTTCTGTTCCCTGTAGAAATCAATCAACCACATTAATCGACTCTGACGTTATTTTTAAACTTGCTATGCTTAATGTCAGATCTCTATGTAACAAATCATTTTTAATTAATAATTTTATCACTTCTTATGATCTTGATTTTATGCTTATGGCTGAAACATGGCTGGACCAAAATACAGGAAATGCAGTTCTAATAGAAGCAACACCACCCAATTTTAAATTCGAATCCGAAATACGAGAAAACAAAAGGGGGGGAGGCATAGCTGCAGTTTTTAGAGAGCACTTTGTCTCCCATAGAATGCCCCTTGGAAATTTTTCATCGTTTGAGTATATTTCTTTTAAAATGGAACAAAAGCAATCTTCTACTCTTTTCATTGTCCTGTACAGGCCACCACAGTCATGTTGCGATTTTATTGACCATTTTACTGAACTACTTTCATTCGTGTGCACAGATTTTGATAGTTTAGTTATTACAGGTGATTTTAATGTACATGTTGATAATGTTGATGACAGAAATGCAAAGGAGCTGGCTTCTGTATTTGAGACCTTTGGTTTCATTCAGCACGTGAGTGGCCCCACCCACAGCAGGGGGCACACTCTTGACCTGCTAATTACAAAGGGGGTTAATGTATCAAATGTTAATGTAGTTGATGTTGCTTTGTCAGATCATTTCTGTGTATTTTTTGACATGTGTTTTGCTAGCAAACCACCAGCTGAATTTACAACTGTTAGAAGAAGACACATACATGAAAACACAAGTGAACTGTTCATGGGAATGCTAAATTTTGAGAAAACTCCATGCTCTACTGTTGATGAATTGTATAACTCTGTCACCACCAGTGTTCTGACTGTTCTGGACGCCATTGCTCCTGTGACGGTTAAAATAGTTACCAGTAAGAAAAAGGCCCCATGGACTAAGGCAGACTCGGTTAGGGCACAGAAGCAAGAGTGCCGGAGGGCCGAACGGAAGTGGCGAAAGTCCAATTTCCAGGGCGATTATGAAATCTTTAAAGATGAGTTGGGTGAATTTAACCGGGTTCTACGTAGAACAAGAGAAATGTATTTTTCTGACATTATTGGAGGTTGCAGTAACAATTTTCGTGTTATGTTTTCAACAGTTGGTAGATTAACGAACCCCCCTGTAAAGTTGCCCCTAGAATTTTCCTCTAAATCTAGGTGTAATGAGTTCGCACAATTTTTCGATGACAAAGTACAAGGAATCAAAAACACTATCACCTCCACAGCACGTATAACAATGCAACAGCCAGAGAAGCTTTCTGAGCTAACTCACTTTGCACCTGTGGATACTGAAACTGTCAAAAAGATAATCATGAGTCTGAGCTCCTCCACATGTAGCCTGGATATATTGCCCTCTAAATTTCTGAAGTCCGTCCTGAGCAGTTTGTTACCTTCACTGACACAAATAGTAAACATGTCTCTGTCGTCAGGAACATTTCCTATGGCCCTAAAAACAGCAGTCATAAGACCTCTCCTAAAAAAGAGCAGTCTGGATCCTGCGGGACTTCAAAATTATCGCCCCATATCGAATCTGCCATTTATTGGAAAAATTCTTGAAAAAGTGGCCTCCCAACAACTTACTGAATTTTTTAACAATGAATAATTCTTTTGATATGTTCCAGTCTGGGTTTAGACCCCACCACAGCACTGAGACCGCTCTAGTGAAGGTAACAAACGACATTCGACTTCACACTGATGCAGGTAAAGTCACAGTTTTGGTCATGTTAGATCTTAGTGCCGCGTTCGACACTGTCGACCATGAGATCCTCATGCAGAGACTGGAGGACTGGGCTGGTGTCACTGGCACAGCCCAAGACTGGTTTAGGTCTTACCTGGAGGATAGGAAGTACTCTGTGGAGATTGGAGACTGCGTCTCAGATGATGTGGCCCTGACCTGTGGTGTACCACAGGGGTCGATCCTGGGACCTCTCCTATTTAATCTCTACATGCTGCTGTTAGGTCAGTTAATACAAAGAAACAAAGTGTCCTACCACAATTACGCTGACGACACTCAGATCTATGTCTCACTGACTGCAGGAGAACATGGACCACTGGATTTGCTCCTTCACTGTATCCAACAGATCAGTGACTGGATGCAAAATAATTTCCTCCAGCTAAATACAGACAAAACCGAAATCATTGTCTTTGGTCCCCAGAAACAAAGAGAGGGCGTCATTTGTCAACTTCAGTCTCTCTCCCTACTTCCTTCAGACAAGGTCAGAAATTTGGGGGTAATACTGGACTCAGACCTAAATTTCAATAGCCACATAAAATCAATAACATCAACAGCTTTTTACCATCTGAAGAACATTGCCAAAGTTAGAAATATAGTGTCCAGGGCAGACTTGGAGATTCTTGTCCATGCATTTGTCTCCAGCAGGCTAGACTACTGCAATGGCCTGCTTACAGGTCTGTCCAAACAGACCTGTAAGCAGCTGCAGTACATCCAAAATGCAGCAGCTAGAGTCCTGACAGGAACCAGGAAGTATGACCATATTAGTCCGGTCCTCAGGTCTCTGCACTGGCTTCCTGTGGCTCAAAGAATAGATTTTAAAACGGCTCTGCTTGTGTACAAGTCTCTCCATGGCCTTGCACCAGAATACATTAGTGACATGTTGGTGTCATATGAACCAGCCCGGACTCTGAGGAGCACAGGGACTGGCCTCCTGC